AGTACCATCCTTGGATAGCTTGTAGCTATAGTTTCAGCCCGATCTCCTTGCTAGTGTAGGTTTGACAGCACGCTGAACAAGACGCCTCTGTGGTTTTCGTAAAAATGGAAAAGCAGGAAAATCGTGCTGTCATCAAATACTTTTATTTGAAGGGGTTAACGCCGAAGGAAATTAAAAAAGAGATGGACTCAACACTGGGGACATCCTCCCCGTCATATTCAACCGTTAAGCAGTGGGTTTCCGAGTTTAAAAAGGGTCGTGTGAGCACCTGATGGGCCTCGCTCAGGACGCCCCGTTGAGGTCACAACTCCAGATATGATCGAAAAAATTCATCAAATAGTGCTGGGAGACCGCAGATTGAAAGTGCGTGAGATAGCTGAGACCTGTAAGATGTCATATGAACGTGTGCAACATATTTTGCACCAACATTTGCATATGGAAAAGCTCTGTGCCAGATGGGTGCCGCGTTTGCTAACAGTCGACCAAAAATTGATTCGAAAAAACATTTCTACCGCAAATTTGTCATTGTATAAGCGTAATCCAAGCGAATTTTTGCGTCGATTCGTAACCGTTGACGAAACGTGGGTCCACCACTACACTCCTGAAACCAAAGAACAGTCTAAACAGTGGATTGGACCAGGGGAACCAACTCCAAAGAAGGCAAAAACAATTTTTTCGGCGAACAAGGTTATGGCTACTGTTTTTTGGGATGCAAGAGGTATTATATACATTGATTACCTTGCAAAGGGTAATACTATCACTGGTCAATACTACGCAGACTTATTGCAACGTTTGAGCCACGAGGTGAAAATTAAACGACCTCATCTGGCGAAGAAAAAAATCTTGTTTCATCACGATAACGCACCAGCGCATACGTCAATCGTTGCGACGGCTAAAATCAACGATCTAAAGTTTGAATTGATGCCGCACCCTCCTTACTCTCCAGACCTAGCCCCGAGTGACTATTTTCTGTTCCCTAATCTCAAAAAATGGCTTGGCGGTAAGAGATTTGCGGACAATGAAGAAGTAATCGAAGCTGTAAATGGTTATTTTGAGGAGCTTGACGAATCAGTCTATAGAGATGGCATTAATAGACTGGAACACCGCTATGAGAAATGTATCAGCCTTGGAGGAGATTATGTTGAGAAATTAAAAAAAAAAAAAAATTTTTAAAAACCTTGTTTTTCTTGGTCAGGCCGGAAACTTATCAATCCACCCTCGTAAGTTTGTGTTAGGTAAGAGTAGAGTATTATTTATGACTAGGTACAAACAGACCAGCAGACACTTTTCGTTTCTCTTTATGTCACAGTTATCGTGATGTCGATTTACTTCTGATAGGAATGCCAATGCATAAAAATCGATTGGTAAGTGTGTCCATAACAATTTGCAAGACTTATTTACGTAATTAAATCGCAATAGGCAAATGCAGACGACGGCAATGACGCTGACGACAGTCTGCCGCCATATGTCGCTTTTCTCCTGATTTCTGGCATTCCATTCGAGTCGACTCGAGTAATATACTATTTTATAATCGACGGTACCTACGCAGTTGCACTTTAAGCTTTTTAATGAATGTCTAATTATCAATTAACATCAATACGTACATATGTAAGTGTAAATGACTTATTGCAATTTGAATGACTGCAGCGCCGAACTGTCCCGACGTCTGTTGATAATTAATAACTAAATAATATGTTAAATCAGGCAGAAATTTTCCTTAATTCGAATTTTCTCTATCTCGAACGCAACTGTTTGCATTTAGGATTAGGAGGTTCCTGTTCGAGGAACGTTTGACTACGTACCTAACCATAAATTTATCTTTAGTAGTTGAAAAACAGTCAGCCTTTTTCTATTTGATTCACTTATTAGACATGCATTTTACTTTGACGTAATAGAGTCCGTATTTTTTTTTCTGATAAACCTAAATACAGGCGAATAGTTAAGGATGTGGGTTGTTCTAGTTTTAGGGAAATGCGATGATTAGCTCAGGGTAGGAAAGAGTAGAGATGCGTGTGTAACCAGTTTTAAGCCTGACGATCTTATGATGATGAAACCTAAATAATTTTTAGCAAACACAGAATGGTTAAAAATAGATGTTACACCAAAAAATAATAACAATAAAAGGAAGGATGGGTACGGTGAGAACATTTTAGACATTCATGTGCATACATACATTTATTAACAAAAGCTGCGACATCAACAACGGACGAAGATGGATGGAGATGGTGTTGTAGTGTTAGTACGTGTGCGCCTATTTTACGTACAAATGTATATGTATGTATGTATGTATGTAGAATAAAGGCAAGCAACAGCACCGCTACTAATAATAAATAAACTACTTTACACTGGCGCCTAGCCGTGCAAACATTTATCGCGGTTGGCGCCGCGATTTTGACTTTAAAGTGGCAGGCCCGCCGATCTGTCGACTGTTAAAACCAATACGAGGACATTAAAGTGTAGTGTGTATGTATGTATACACCGCGTACAGTGGTACAGTCGACAGTATTGTAATATGTAGAAGAATTTGTGTGCCTGATTGGTTTTTTACGGGATGTAATTTGTTTTAAGACGCTTTGGTGCATACTTAATATGTGTAGAATATATTGTTATAATTTTACGTTTGGGTAAATGCGATAGAGATTGTTTTATGAGAAAGTAGAGTAAGAGTGAATATAAACATAGGAGTTCGCTGATTTTCGGTATCAAGGAAGTCAGCTAATTCAGGATGGAAGGAGCAGTAGATGAGATATAAAGCAAAGGATAGCGCAGGGTCGAGTAGCCCTTAATAAAGGGAAGTCACTTATATGCTCACGAACGGTTAATTTAGAAATCCGAAAAAGATTGTTAAAGGTGCATGTCTGAAACGCGGCTCTGTACGGATGCGTTGGAAATGTGGTGTTACAGGCGAATGATGAGTGTACCGAGGATAGGGAAGGTTAGAAATGAAGAGGTATTAGAAAGAATAAGACTCTATGGAAGTCAATAAAAAATAGGCGAGACATCTTTTAGGCACGAAGGACTAGTTACAGACATATTAGAAGCAGAAACAGGTGCTAGGTGGAATAGAGGTAGACCTATATTTTAAATTACTGTTTACAAATAGTTAAGGATGTGGGATGTAGTTCTAGTTTCTAGAGGGGTTTTAGTCGGTAGGTCCGAGGACTTCTTCCTCGGGAATCCGACACTACCCAGTCGTACGGACTGGACACATTGTGATCATATGATAAGGGTGTGAGAATTTGACTGAAATGATTTCTGCCAAAGCTCTGGAAGCTGATTGTTTGGGAACGTTTGAATTTGATTGGTGTGTGTATTTTGGCGTCTGGAAGAATAACGTTGGAGTAAAATACACATATATATTTAGAGTAGAGACTTCTTATGACAGTAGAAATTGGGGTTGTTGAGAAAATTGTTGAGATGAAGAACAAAAAGAACGCAGATAGCTCAACCACTAACATCAAACCAAGGCACCTGTGTGACTATTAAGTGAATTCACAAATAAAACATTTCTCTCACTGAAGAAATACCAAAAGTATCAGAAATTTACAGCAATAGCCTAACAGCAACAGCGAAATAAAAATTTTTAAGACATTCAACATTAATTTCTATCAATGACAGTTATTTTGTTCGCGGTATGAAGAATTCTAGCATAATTAATATGCTGATTACATAGGTTACTTACCTGTCCGGGGTTTCGTAATGTGCTATTGGCTTACCGATATTCTGCTCTAATTACACAGGGGAACAACGTTCAAACGTCGTCATCATCATCATCATCATCATCATAAAGTCATCAGTCCTAAGACTGGTTGGACACGCACCTCTACTCTTTCCTATTTTTATGTGCAACTTAACAAATTCATTCCTTTTTTGATAATAGTTTTCGGGAAAATCGGAAAATTTAGGGAATTTCTTTGATACATATGTTACCTGTTAGGATAGGGAAAAATTCATTAATGATCATCCCTATACATAAGGGAGGAGAAGGTCATACAGAGTCAGGACTCTACCGGAGATTTAAAGTATTACAATGAATGTTATAAGAAAATCTACTGATGATGAGAGAGATTTAGATTCCAATCCGTTTTAATGTAGAACTTCGATAAAAATGTATTGTTTGGGACAATTTCTTATTTCTATTTAGATAGATGTAGTAGAACATGTCTAAAATTGGAGATAAAAAAATAACGACGAGATTTTCCTATTATAAATTAAATGTATTACATAATTGACCTTGAGCTTTGGGTTCTCTTTAAAATATGTTACGTCTGGTGTTTACTCATTTTATCCGCAACAACAATTTCTCAAAATCTGAAAACCCCCCATGAGATAAATATTCTATTGAAAATTCGCTACGAAATTATTCTAATCTTCTGTATTCGACTTTTTAGTTTAAACCACTACTCGTCACATCTCATGAAGTGACGTCACTATACAACAAACATGAAAAATGCTAGGGAAATCGAAAAGTGAAAGTAAATGCTTTAATAAGTATAGTGAAAATTTTATTTCTGTTCGCATAGGCTTTCTCTAACTAAATGTGTGGGCATATAAATAATAGGAACTTTAACAAGAAGCAGGCTGTGAATAATTATTACGTTAATGATAAAACAATCATCTTTATGCTTTGAGACATTCATGAAAGAGAAATGTAATAAATTATATTGCCACTCAGATGCCAAATTAACAGATCGCGATCCATTCCGAGCAAAATGTGCACAGAACGAGTTACAATCGGTTTCGTTTAAAATTGAGCAGATCGTCATGTAAAGCCTTTCTCTAAAAAGCGCTTGATTACTCAACATCTACAATTCTCTAAATTCTTCTAATACTTTTTAATTTGCCACCCTATCGTATGAATTTGGCATCTGGGCCCAACATAAATATTTGACAGTAGGTACGAGTCTGCAAACGTGTGTTATTTTTAATTTTGTTCACTAGTAGATATGTATTAGTGTATTTTATATGTAGATGCTGATTTGTTTTTTATTTTATTGCAGAATCACCACCTCCACCTTATTCCTGTTTTGCAATGGATAGGTTAAAACCTGAAGGTAAGTGATTTTCGTTAACATTTTGGATTCATGACGATACCTACATGACTAGGCGTTTGTTTTGAACATGAAACATCAATCTCCATCGTCATAAAAAACGAGTAACCACACTTAGGTTACTATAGGAAAAGACGACACGGACGTAGTAAGCAACTAACTAATGACGTACACAACACTAACAATGCACAATGCTGACTTACACCCTTGTATACACCTGCTACCCTTGTACATTTTTCTGATGTTTCAATTAACTTACGTATACTTCGTTGTCTTTGTGTGAAAAATACGTCGAAAGAAAATTTCTTCCCAAGGCATTTTTTTAAGTTTGGGAATGGGTAATAATCTCTGGGAGCTAGGTCAGGACTGTAGGGTGGGTGAGTCAAAATTTCGAAGACCATCTTCTGTAGGGCAGTCATCGTAACACGGCTCTTGTGAACAGGTACGTTGTCATTCAGAAGGAGGACACCTTTGGTCAGTTTTCCTCTTCTTTTTTCTTTGACTGCTTCCTTTAACCGCTCTAGGATTGAAGCATAAGTATTATCCAGACACCTTTATCTTTATAATCAATCAACAGGATCCCTTCTGAGTCCTAAAAGACTGTCCGCATGATTTTCCCAGCCGACTCTAACATCTTAAACTTCCTGGTCGGTGGTGTGCCTTTTTTGTACTACTGCATTGAGTCCTGTCCAGGCTCATGATGATGAACCCCAGTTTTGTCCAAAGTAACAATTCGAGTCAATACTCCATCCTTATCTTCACTATGGAAGTCCAAAAATGCGCGAGAACACTCCACACGCTGTTGTTTTTGAGATGGATGAGCATTCTCACCACCGATCTTGCGCTGACTTTAGTCATGCCAAGATGATCGTGAAATATTTTTAAAATGTTTGTATCTCATACTCCTACCATTTCTGCGAGCTGTTTCTTCTTAAGTCGGGCATCTTCCAGTATTTATTTTTCGATGCTTTGAATGTTTTCCGGATTGGCCACCTCGATCGGTCGGCCTGGCCGTGGGTCGTCTTCAAGTGAATCCCTGCCTTGATTAATGAGGGTATGTCACTTGTAAACCATGGTTTTACCTGGGCAAGAGACCCTGTAAACAGATGATATCTCTTCCAGCCAAGCAAGGAACTCCCGACGATAGTTAAAAGACTACAAACATAATTACGATAAAACTTTGTATTTATACTAATAATGAGTTGCTTAATTCGTAATGACTCGAGTAATAACCCTCACTATCGACCTACCTACCCAATCGCATCCTCGTTTACTTTGTTGAACATGACATTATTGATTATTCTTTAAACAATTACAAATAAATTTGATGAACGAATGCACTAGTGTAACAAGTTATGTGCGCGTTTAACAGTTATTTACGATTTCTCTGGTAATAGTTAGCTCAAGTTTCGATTTTATTATCAAAAACAGATCGTTTCGGTGTTTGTTTAGTCGTTCTCGTGTGTTGTTTGAATTTAAACAATGTTTAATCAATACAAGTTCGCCTTTAAATACCACCATAAAAATAGGCTTAACTTCAATTGTAATTCAAGTTGAGATCAAGGCTGTCGCGATTTAATCGCGAAGTTATACCTACTGTATGTGTGTGCGCGTGTGCGCGTGTGTTTATATATCAATAACGCATGCGTGCCGATTAATTTTCTTCGATATTGTGTACTTCTTAAAATAACCACACCACCAGTAATAAGTATTACGTAATCTGACTGGGCATAATGCTTTCGTTCGTTCTTCATTATTTATCTAATAATAATTATTGTTAATCAAAACTCTTCCGTGTTTTTAACAGACACTAAACACATTTCATTCGCCTATTAGGAATGCAATAGGAAATTGATTGATTCCAAATCTATGTAAAATACACACCCAGGGACGTAGCTAGGAGTGAGCGTAGATGGGTCATGTGTCATGGACCAAGCGTTGAAAGTTTTGACCCATACGCTGCTTCACCCAGCTGTTGCTAACTAAAGTATTTTAGATGTTTAGATTTGTGTGAAAAGCACATCATATATTCTTATGCTGATTGTTAATCTAGCTTTTGATCAGTAAGTAATTCATCGGAACCACGATTTCGATCAGATTTGATCACATTAGCACGCCATAAGCAATCTCGCCATATCTGTAAATTTCTTGTCAAATTCTTGAGTAAGACAAAAAGTTATTTTACGTATTGCCTTCTCAATTCTTTTCTGGCGTGATTCTTGTCTTGTCAGTAAGGTCTTGATAATTTTTGTTCTCGCTTCGAAATATAAAGTTGCCTTCTTCATTTTTATTTTCTACATAATTGTAGAAAAGATTCAACACAAATTATAAGTAATTGTTATTTATGTAAGATAAAAATAGCGTCCAATTTATCATGTTCTTTTTTTTTTTTAATATTTTCCAAGAAAGCTATTTAAATAATGACTTAATTTGATATTATAACTTACATCATTAATTTCTAAGTTTACTATTTACGTTTAAGTGTGCATTCTTTGAAGTACTAACTAAACTTGTCTGTCTTGCCTAGATTTTATTTTAGTTATGTTTTCAACGACCTTCTGTGTTCTTTGAGTTAGTTTTAGTTGTCTGGCTTCATAATCAATCGTGATTACGTTCACGTACACCGCGTATATGGCTTGCTACATTTGCACTTGTACAATTTTTAATTTTTGTTTCATTTTATCTCTGCTCTTGTCAATCTTTCATGGTATTGTAGTGAGCACGGGCGTGTTTGTGTGCGATCGGGCATACGTGTGTGTGAGCGGCTTATCGATTCGCCGACTAGCCGCGGGCGTCTTTCTTCATGTGCGCCGTATCTGTAAACGTGTGTGTCGTACCTGCGTTCCGGCAAAGCAATTAAACAGTTCAAAGAAAACGAGACTTTTCCGGCCGACTCGAGAAACTTCCCGAAAGGGGCCAAAACAGTAAAGAGTAGAGTAGAGTAGAAATAAATTGACCGTTGCAGAAGTGAATCAATAAATAAATTGACAGTGATAAAAGTGAAATAAATAGAACATTGAATAGTAACAGTAGTGTAAACAAATAGAATAACTACCTAAGTTTAGTAAATAATTTAATAGTGTTTTTAAGTTCAATAATAATTAGTGTAAATAAACAGTTTTCTTCTTAAAAGTTAATTTGTTAAACCAACGAACATTACAGTATTATTGCTGTATTTCTTTTTCAAATTCAAGCTTAAATGTTTCGAAGTGAGTTAACTCTAACCATACCTACAGCATACTAATTATTCCTAGATTCGTTTGGATGCTAATAAGTTGTAGATGATTTTGGTGTATTGTTAGAACCGAAAATTCCAAAATTTGTTTATAGAATACAATACAGTCTCCTTTAAATATCATTAAAGCAGCCTAGGACATTTAGCCACTGATGGAATTAAACGTGTTGTTATATGATTGCCTGAGCCTGTACAGCCTACCCATACCTATCCCATATGCATATTTACTGTTGTTAGAAGACAATAATCATGTAGAATAATCCACATTGTTTGCAAAACTGGGAAAATACTAGGGCACTTAGTCATAATTTCATGTAAATTCATTGTTCGCATTTTTATAAATAGTCATGAAATTTTCATACAACAATAGCCTGCTTACGGCTCATGGTTAACACTGAAAACGTTCCGCGATGACAAAAGTAGAATCTGTGTATCACATATTTGTTGTTATTTCCATTTTCATATGCCGCTCATGTAATGGTACCTACGGTAAAAAAAAGATCTGAAAAGGGAAGTTGATTCGCAAAAATGAAAATAGCATCAAGGTCGTTTTGACTTATTGTTAAGCTTGAATAAGAAGAATGCAAATAAAATGGACTGGCTTGTAATCTAATAGACGCTTAATTAATTCTCTGATAATTGGCAGCTGTGTAACAATAGAATTCGTTGATGTTCATTCATTAGCTCATATTATTGTTTGGACAGTTTTTGTTTACGCGAAATCAATATCAAAATCATGTCGACGCGTGAAATTTTACACCTGGTTCTGCACCAGACTTATTACCGTCACAATCACATAGCATACATATGTCTGTATATCTATTATCTATCTATCTATGTATATCTATACCAATACAACGCGAGAGCTGATTGGTTTTTCAAGATCTTGTTCAACTCTGGAAGTTATTCATTTCTCTCTTTGCAGTAGTTTGAAAGACCATTACGATCTGTCAGTTGTCGGTGGTGTCTTAGTGGCATGGGCTAGAGGTTTAGACCATTGCTTAGGATTCGCGGGGATATCGGTTCGATTCCTGGTCTGTTTTCCCTAGTCAAAATGTTTCTGTGATTTCCTTGGACCACTGAAGCAAATGCTGGAGGCGCAATAATCTTTCACTTTCTTGTGTCTTCATTTTATCCGTCTCATTTTTTTCATGTCAATTTCTCAAAAGAAACTGAAGAGAGCCTTCCGCCCTATCTTCCGGCGTAATCCGGACAGATTTCCCTTAGACCAGCACCACTAACTGGTAGAAATGAAACACCCAAAAGCTTTTTTTTTATTCATTGATGGTAAGCAAGGATCAGATCCCAACACTTTCAGAAAGTACCCAGGTCAACGAAATTCGCGTTAGATAAATACGACAGTCCTGCAATTGTTAGTAAACCAACTGCCTACATACTATGTGGTAAAGTACGTGTTTGTTCATACATGTATATGTACCTGTATGTATTCATGTGTATTGGTTACTAGTTACTCAGCAAACACACACGCACGCGAACGTCCTTGATGGTCGCCTAAAAGCATCAACAAGTGGTTTGACATGTTCTTCAGCTACTGCATAGTACTACTATATCCTCTACCGGTTACACAATACGTATACAATGTGGTGTACGTTCAGGAGGAGTATGGTGACAATTTCATCATGGTTTTCTCTCCCGTAATCGGATTGGAAAATAATTGTAACCTTTGAAATTAAGCCCAGAAAACTGGTCTGAGGAGAGTGCAGTGTAATAACCACGAGTACGTAGTAATGGTAATGTTTTCTTACAC